AAAATCGAGATGAATATATATAAAAAAAAATAGGAGTTTGATGAAAAACATGTTTAAATAATATGAGATGTTCATTCATTATTTGTAAAAATTACATTGAATAAAACAGAACCCTGGCTTGTTTTCTCTCATTTGAACTTTGTGTGAACTTCGGGAATTTCATTATGCCGGAAATGCAAGTATTTACCTAAATGAGGCTGAAGGGGAGTAGACGGAGTTGCAGGTACACTAGAAGCTTTTCGCCTGACGCTAGATGATCGTTGAATAGTTGGCTCTTCTCGTCCCGGACTTCCGTTATCCCCCAGAATTTCCTTCTCAGTCCGGCCAGTGTACTTGAACTTTGTTCCCCAAGAAAAAAATCCGCCTCCGGTGACAACAGATGGCGCATCCGAGCTAGTTGGCAAACTAATGTAATAACACTCTTTGTTTGACTAATGCTGCTACTACGACACACGTGCTGTAACTTGATCAGTGTCCACTGCCATAAAGAATGTTCCGGAGAACGAGAAATTAGATTTATCAATTCAACTGCTGCAATTACAGTATAATGTCGAGAAAATGTTATTTTCTCTCAAGTTGACGTGTTACACACCAAAAACATACTGAAACCGCATATTCAATGAGCTACTAATGCATTAATGCCTTTCAGTTTGAAACATCTAATTGAAGATGATTCCATTTACTTTTTATTTTCAATTCTACCAAAGAAAAATGAAAAATTGAACAAAAAACTTGTTTGAACACAAAAGAAATTTCAGTTATGAGAGTGAAAATAAAACAAATACGTGGAATGAGAAATGGGAACAACCAGTTTGGAGGTAGCACAGAGGACGGTGGTACTAGAAGTGTTGAGGAACTAATAAAATGAAGTTTATAAGCAAATAAAAAAGAGCTGAGAGGAGAAACACAACATAATAACCTCACATAAGATGAATTAGATGAAACCCTAAGGTGGGACGGTAGCCTAGCCAGTTGACGTGGGTGGTTTGCTCTACTCACTCAATCCTCAGCTGTGCGAACCGATGGTTCAAACGGCAAGGCCGGACGATCGATTTTCACTTCCTATCGTCCAACCAATGTTAGGAATCACATGTTAAAAGGTAAGAACTCGTTAGTCTTTAGCTCGCTGAGTTCCGACTTTTGAGATTTGTCGTTCGTAGGGGGGGTGTGACAGCTGGTTAACGGTAAAACAGATTTTAAGAGATCAGATAA